TGAGGTTACAGACAGGAGGTGAGGAGATGACTGTTTACTGTAGGGGTAGGAATTGGAAATGACCACCCAAATCAATATCAAATCCATATTTGCCGATTTGATATTTATCACAATTTCAAATACTTTTTGCTGAAGAACATTTCAGGCCTACATTTAACGTAAATAGATGGGCTGTGTCGTATTCATCATTAACGGTTTTTGGTTCGGAACATGCGTTGAACGAATGAATACATTTCTTGACACGGGCGAAACCTAAACTCACAAGCAGATGTGCAACACTACGCTAATTGTGGCTGTGAGCTGATTACGGCTCAGACCGAAGAAATGAAAGACCCTCCCATGTCACTGAGATCAGGAGTTTGGGAACATGACACGAACACCAGAGAGAGTCGTCGATAAGACTGTCTCTGTTACACCAAACTCAGATGCTCATTCGAGACGACATCACCTGAGTGTGTGTATGACCAGGGCAAGGCAGAAACAGCCTCTGCACATTATTAATGACTTAAAGACAATTTTGGCAGGAAATTCAGACGGGGCTAAAAAAAAAAATTAATTGTGATTGTTATGATGGAATCATTTTTTTGAGTTACATAATTAGTTTTAGTCTGTAAATAAGCGTCTCTTAGGCTTTGTTATTCAGACATGCTGACAGATGCGCTGCCTTCAGATTGCAACTGTTCCTAATTGTGTTCACAGGTTTAATGACAAACAGTTTTGATCCAGATTCTGTTTCCCTGCTAAACCAAATTTGCACCAAACAGTGAACCCAAGCAGATAGCCATTCTCATGTCTAGGTGGTCCAGTTTGCCCAGACATGGGATTTAAAAGTCTCTGCACTCTGCTCCTTGATGGTCTCACCATGCCAGACTGGCACATATCAGTCCCATAACAAAATCAGCCTCTGTGCGACTGGGCACACTTATTAGCTGGAACAAATGCGACCAACATAATTACAGTAGATCATGATTTGTAACTGGATTGATTTTTCCCTCCACCGCTAGTTTACTGTATGCAGTGTCCTTTACATTTTCCTGGGGCCTGACGTGTGTGTGTGTGTGTGTGTGTGTGTGTGTGTGTGCG